ACAACTTTTTTAGACTATACTGCAGCTTTCGACTCTGTTCCTAGGACACTTTTATTAGGAAAGATGATTTCAGCACAGACAGAGTCCTGGGCAACTAGATGGCTGTCTTCTTATTTTAAGGATAGGAAACAGCATACTGTTTTGGCTGGAAAGCGCTCCACTTCTCAGCTAACTGAAAGTGGTGTGCCTCAAGGTGCAGTACTTTCTCCATTTCTTTCCTCTTTCTTTTTGCATAACCTTCCGAACTCACCCAAAGTTAACTTCATTAAGTATGCTGATGATCTGACCGTTTCTATCCCTGTAGTTTCCACATCGGATTGTTCCCATATGAATGGCTTCTTAGCTGAAGTTAAGGATTGGTCTGGCTCAAATGGTCTTAAACTAAATCCAACTAAATGTTATACTGTTGGTTTCAGCTTGAAAAGTGAAAAAGACATGCATGGAATGATCCAATCTCATGATTGTTGTAATATTGATGGTAACATGATAGAGAGTAAGTCAAGTGTTTCTTATCTTGGCATTAGTTTCTCTTCAAACCTTTGCTGGTCGTCTCATATTCTTATAGTTTCTAAAAAGATTTTCTGTCTGACTTACTACATAAAGAAGTTGAGGCACTCAGGTATAACCCAATCTCTTCTCATACAATTTATTAATTCATGTGTTTTGCCCATCATTCTTTATTGTTCTCCATTATTCTTTCCTGAGCTACTCAAGAAAGACCATATAATACTACGAAGAACATTGAGGGCTGTAAGTAGGGTCAGTGCTATCCCTTTGACTCAACTAATTGACACTGTTGTCAATAGGCACATGAATTCTTGTAAACACTTAACTAAAGTCATTTTGTCTGATAGTGAACATCCTCTTTATTCACAATTGTTTCCTTGTATCTCTTCGGGTAAGACCAGAAGAAATTTCATAAACATTTATGCTCGTACTACAAAATATAAAAATTCGACCGTACCATATTTGGCACGAGTATTGTGTGAAGAGACAAATATCAGAAAAGAACTTTTACAACTTTTAAATCAATAACTAAACTATAAAATGTTATGATGCATATTATTGCATGTGTGATTTGTTATATTATTTATTTATTATTTCACTATGACCTAGAAATGGTGTGATTTTGTTGGGGTTTTTATTTTTTTCCTATTAATTATCAATATTTTTAACATTTCATACATTTATATAATTATAAAAAGAGCTAAACCAATGCAATATGTAAAATGAAACGCTGAAAATTCCATGCTGTAAATTGTTATTGTTATGGAATAAAGTGATTATTATTATTATTGCAATATTTATTTCACAAGCATTCGTCTTACATGCATACAAACTTCACATATTGATTGCTTACTGAGTAGTAAACAGTATTACGTGTTCAACTCCTAGCGGTACTGAATGAATTCTCTCAATCGATTTGAAACGTGACCGCTATACAACATCACTTAAACGAGGGCATCGCAGTGGTGCACCTTCTAGATTGGAGACCTAACTGTTGCAGTTACGTCAGCACCACTGAGAAATAGACACGTGACACATGAATCAATGTAACCATTACAGTCCTACCATTGCTCGGCTGTAGATGCAAACAGCTCGCTACTAACGTTTTTGACAGATTTCTTGATTGGTGCTGGCTAGGATCACCGTAAATTCATCGGTTCTTTCAAATTTGTGGATTTATATTGCCGATGACTACAGATAAGATAACTAGATACAGAGAATCCTAGCGACTGTCTCCATCCATCTCACATAAGGACTTCCAGAAATAACAAAGTGTGCTATACTTCTTGGCTGCATGATTTAAGAAGTTCTTTAATTAATATTCAAAATTTGACTTATGAAATCTTCTCACTCAGTTTCTGATAAATTAAAATGTTGAATTTCATATTCACTGATGGCTTTCTCTATTCTGTTCATGTCAATGTCAAAAACAAAGTTTGCTTATAATACAACAAACTTTGTGAAGAAATTAAATTTCTTTTAAATGTCCATTTAAAAATTCTCTTGAAACGAAAAGGTGATAAATTCATATGCATCATGTCATTGATACAGATAGACGGATCTGATAACTTGTTGAATTCAGTAAATACAGACGTCGTACAAGTGAGAGGAAATAGCTCCGAATAGTTTCCACTTTTGCTTACTGCTTAAATTAGGCATATAAGATCTTGAAAAAGAAACTAGAACTATGGAATTTGACATAGAAATGAAAACTTTACCATTATATTTATTGAATAACTGAATGAACATATAATATACAACTTACCGAGTGATTCACTCGCCTCACTTGTCAATCTACTTATCTATTTCTTTGTATATATTAAAACCCTCTCTAATAGACTAGCGACATAAGACATATTTATAAACTATTCAAGTGAATATGATTATTAGCGAACTGGAATTCGGATAGATTCACTTCGGGTTTGAATAACTTGGCAACGTGTTTTATACTGTCAACTACATATTCGGTTAGCTTATCGAGTTTAAAAGTTATGTTTGTACGAGTTACCGGAAGCACTTCTACTTTCCATTGTTACTTTTGATTACACGAATTGAAATTTATTATAAAATTAGATAAGTTTAGATTCAAAAATGTTGTAAGTAAACAGCATTCTTTGGGTTATAATGAAGTTATTCAAATTTCTAAAAACTAACATTTGAAAATCAATCCTATGCTCACTGATTACTCGCTAAGGGATTCAATTCTTACAGTGCGATCCATCAAGTGGGTTGTCAGAACAGACAATAACTAGATGTGGCACTACAAATCATGAGTTGGCAGGATTTAGAATTTGTGGGCCAGCGGTTGTACGGTTACGTGCTTACATCGTAACCTGAAGGTCCTAGGTTTGGTCCCCGATGGGGTCAAAAACATGCTTTGCCGATGAGTGGTAAACTAATACGACACAACTGTCGACTGCTGGCTGGTTCTCAGTGGTTCTCTTTCCAACGCTGGTACGTGAAAAGACCAACCTTAAAATCAATAAAACCCGGGCAAACTGACACTTTAAAGTTATTCATAATTTGAGTTGAATAGAATTTACAGGAATAAGCGATTTAAAAAATATTTTTACCCCTACAACCATCACAGACCCCTTCGAATCTCCTTCTACTTTGAATTGATGACCATTAGCTGAATTACAGCTGAGAAATAAGTACTCCTTCCTCAAGAATCAAACAAGTCGGAATACTGTCCCTCACCCCTTGCATAAGTGGATTCTATCAGCGAACTAACTTTACTTTCTAACACAACACGGAATTACATAAAATATTTCCTAAGTCTGATTTGTAGTATTCTGAAATGCAAATCTCATCCGTGAACCTGTTCATATTGATAAAACAACAATTAAATTAAATTGTCTATTTAATAAATTGCTATTGACAATAGTTTGATGTTCTGAAAGCCTTCATATCTTACTATGAATGCGTACCACAAGATCATGGCGGGGGGTTTAATCACCCACCTGTTGCATAATGATTAGATATACAAATTCACGAGACAAAAAACTTTGTGTTTCTTCACATACATTGTCATCATAGCCATATATCCTGTAATAAGCCCTGTCTTTTTACCGTGACACAAGACTTATTTCACAATGCAATTCTTTTCATCAGGCTCAAACACACAAACAACAAACGATTGCAGAAATGAATGAGTAGACGAATATTCTCACACACTTGAAGTTGACATTTACATGGCAGACTAAAAATACACAACCCATCCAGTTAGAAATGAGACTGTATTTTCACTTTTGAATATTTGTTTCTATCAGGTGATTATCCTCACTAAAACAACGTGCATTCTCAGGATTTAATTTTTCTAATCTTATGTAATTCATCTATTTAATATGCCTTTATGAATCGTACTCATATACACATAGTCATTTTAAACGACAATTATTGGTGAAATATTCAGGTCTACAATCAAATCTCTTTTTTGTTATAAAAATGTGCTCTATTAGTCAGCTAATATTGTTTCTCTGAAGTTCGAAATCACTGAGTATTATGAGTTTTCGATGAGTGGATAAATTATACTTCATAGATAATACATATCGCGACACATTTCTCCTCAGAATATGTTGGATTTCCATCATAATGAAGTGATACACAGTCTAGAATAATGTAAGAATTAATGTGGGAGAAATCAATGGTGAACTGATTTCCAGTAAAAATACCGGTACTTAATGACAACCAACGGTAGAATGCTTGCCAACCACACATGTGTTTCAGAGTTCGACCCCCGGCCGACGCACTCCTGAACCTCTCTAAGCCAGTAATAAGATTGGTAAAGAGGGAAGGTTGGACATGAGACTAGCAACCCTATCCCTTAAAAAATAAACACCACAGCTACCGAAACTTCAAAGCTCTAGCTTGAAGCCTTCTGTCCCACTGGGAACGTAAAGGAATATAATAGTAATGATAATATTAATATAAATAATAAAAATAATATCATAAAGTTATACATAGCCAAATAGCTGAAAGCAACACCACATTATAAAAGTATAAAACAACATACACCAAATGAGTGGTACTAATTGTTTTTCAAGAATTACTCAAGTTAATCATTGTATGAAATAGAAGATACATGAACAGTTGAGGCTTACTATAAGGATTCATATACTTTAATACATACTCAAATCTAGGTCACTAGTAATCCTAACAGCTGTAAAATTCACAGTATTACTAAATCGAATTTACGCTTGGTTTGTCTTTTGTTCACGCAGCAATCAAATATCTTGTCTGAATATGTCAGCTACCATTTAGAACAAAATACAAAGTTCACAGGAGATAATACCGTTGGAAATAGTCTCTCTTGTATCACATAAAACTCAACTAAGCTTGATTTTCAATCGCCAAAAGTTCACAAGTTCTATTCCAAAACCATTTTCTTTCCTCTTTATTTTTAACTGTAGACGATGGTTTTTTAAGATCACAATCTGAATAGTACCCACCGGATGTTAACTTATCCGATAAGACAGTGTATAACGTGGTTTGTGCACCTTACCATGAATCGATGAAAAACGGTCACACTAGTGTAACAAACATTTTCTGTAAAAAGAAGAAGAAATACGAAAATTAGCGGCAAATTAAAAGCTCTATGAGAAGTATCCTGTTTGAAACAGACTTACAAAGAAAAATGCAACTGTAACATTTTCGGTTCTGTTGCATTTGACTAAGAACGACATCAAATGTGAAATCACTTGGTGTATTTCGATAAGCTACAGTTGATCTAATGAACAAAAATTCACTGATTAACTTCCCTATCCATCTAACCGTATAACTTTCTAATACTTTTACCCTATCCCACCCTAGTGGACGATTACATGTAAGTGAATAGAGAATTACTGATCCCTTCTTTGTTACTCCTTTCAATGAAAAAAATTCATTTCACTACTCAGTGTGTGTTTCATCACCAACCGATATCCTTAGTAAGAGAATCATTGAAAAAGTATGCAGCACTGAGCAGCTATGTCGTCCTAGCTTGGCACTGTTCGGCAGTTTTACCGACAATCCTACCAAGGAACAAACAATGGACCTTCAGATCACAAGGCAAACGCCTTGACCACTCAGCTAGTCGGATGGGATCCAATGATCAACTCTAAATTCTCTCAGCTCGTCACATATCTCCACCGCCACCGAATTTGACTGATGGACATCAGCCTCATACTTGATGTGGTAAAGTCCAGTTGCCATTTGTGAGCAGGAGAATAGTAAAAGGATTTTTTAAGGGAATCTATGGATGAAGAAATTCACAGTGGAATTAACCAAAATGTCCACCAACCAAAAGCCTTTGCTTCCTGTGTTAGTGGCCTTTTGATCTACTTCAAAAAATCAATACCTCATTTGTCTATCTAATGAAACGCAGAATGATAAAGTATGAATTACTGAATGGATGTTACATAAGCGTAATCTATTTATTTGGAGTAAATAGTTTAACGCACATCTAATAGGTATAAACTAAATGATCTTTCATATGTTCTATTCTTTTCACTAACAACAGGAATAGACGGGCATACCGGCATAGAAATACTCACGATGCCTGTGACCACTGCTTAGCGGACAGCAACCAGTTTCAAACGCAGTTTAATCAGAAGCTTAGTACACAGAGTCTGATCAGTTTTTTGTATTGAAAGGGAAATAAATGTGGATATCTTCACACCTACAGGAAACTTAAAATACGTATTTTATTAACTGAGATTTATCTCATTTTTAACCACATTTGGATGTGTACTTGTAGCATTCTTGACTATTATGATACTGACAACAGGTTGCTGTATCTGTGATGACCTGAAAAAGATGCGATGAAAAGTGTATTCTCCATTCATCCCCAACAAAATGTTTATGACAGTTTTAATCTCACTTGTTTCAAGGTAAAAAGAAGGCTCAATGACAACGAAATATTGTGAGTAGTGGAGATAAAATGAAAATTTTTAAAAAATATTGAAACAAACTGATCTTCACTTATCTGGGAAGCCTGAGATCAAAAGCGCAGTTATACCGTGTTTCATGCTGACAAAGTTCTAAAATACTCCTAGTCTGTAAATCCGTGACATAACTTATATTCAAAATTCATCTTCCGAAATAATATTATATAATGAAATTCCATTATGATTCACTTTGAGAATAATTGTTATAGACAAATACATATAAGGGGCATTTCACTGTGATAAACTCACACTAAAAAATCCTTTGACACAACTTTGAATTTCAGTCTTCACTGCACCAGGATGTAAACTAACCACCGTCACTCCACTATTTTGCAATCGCTCACTCAACTCAACTGCGTGCATCGCATTTGCTAGTTTCGACTGACTGTAGGCCTTCAGTTCACTGTATTCACCCTCGGGAAGCTGCAAATCTGGTTTACTCAATCGAACGGCATAGTGTGCCATGTAGGACACATTAATTATTCTTGATGGAGCTGATCGCTTCAACAGTGGTAACAACAATTCTGTCAACAGGAAATGTCCTAAACGATTAACTCCTATGGTCATTTCGAAGCCATCAACTGTCTTCTCGTATTTACCGACAATTAGACCAGCATTATTGATTAGAATGTCCAACTCGGTATACTTGGAGTTTATTCGATCAGCGAACTGTCTGACTGAATCCAGAGAGGCCAAATCAAGTTGTTCAATAATCAACTAAATAACAGATACAAAGTGGGTAGTGGGAAAGAAGGTTAAACTACTTACATTATATTATTAGGTACTTAACTGAAGTAGAACTAACAAGTACAAAATAAATCCTCCGAGTTAGGTGGTTTATAATTACAAAGCTTTCATTGTCTACCTTGACAACGTCATCCGTGCTGACTTTGAAATGAAGCTGTTTTCTGGAAAGGTAGTGAAAACCTCGCAATTATACAACCCGACCTTATCAGAAACATATAACTGTGCTGCAAATCTCCATCACAGAGAAAATTCTCATTTAGAGAAAAGCAGTGAGCGAAGAAATACTTACTTTTCAATTAGATCCTCATTTCTGGCTCTATTCTAATGTGTAGAGCATTTTAATATTTTTGATTACAGCTTGATTCCACACAGTATTTTCGGTACAAGTAAGAAATTTCCAGTATGTGACATCGGTAGCCCAAATTCTGCAGGTTGACCATTGATATCAGGTATGCGTCGGCAGGGGGTCAAACCCCGGACCATGTACATGGTCGGCGAGAGTCCTAACCGCTGTGCTACCGTCGCAGCAATTAGTTAATATCAACATGTCACTAGGTGTGATAATTAGCCAAGAAGATTAATACAAACAATTTACGAGTAGAAGTGATTACAACAAGTGGATTGCACCAAGTCAGTGTGGCAACAACGCCTAAAATACCTTTGTTCATAACACTACAGTTCCTCGGGGATAACAGCAGAGAAATAGTAACACACTGCCAGAAGAAGTCAGTTAAAAGTAAAATTCACTTCACTAGGGGTACTCTGTCTCTTCACAACCACTCTGAATTTATATCCGAGATATAATGACAAACTGCCTTATTTCTCGCCCTCTCTGTGTATCTACCAGACTGATTGCAGCCGCAGAGCTGATTTGGAAAACATATTTATCGTTACATATAAATTAATAAAACAAACCTACAAACATTGGATCACACCATGATGTATTTCTAAAATTTTATGTAGCTTAGGTTTACTGATTCCACAATATTGTTTACAGGAAGGTAGCAGAAGAGAGGACAATGGTGAAAGAAAAGATGACGGAATGCTAAAATGGACAACAAAAGGAGAAGCTAAGTTCAGTGCACATCTCACTGAAAAAAGAAGCAAAGAAGAATAGTAGGAAAGTAATAGTGATAAAAGACAGTTCCACGACACACTAGCAGTTCAAGCAGAACAGGAAGGCCACAGGTAAGAACGGACTTCAGAACACTACATCAGATAACCAGGTCTCTATCCGGGAAGAGATTAACACAAACAAAACCATTAAAGCCATTTGTTCAACGGTACCTAATTACCAGGGAGGCGAGACAAATAAAACAGTAGACTGATCACTTCAAAGGACTCTTGAATCGACCATCACCTGCAAATCGCTAATAAGCTCCACGAAAATCAAGCACAAAACTGCCTGTCAGTGGACACCAATCCTCCAACAAAGACAGTAGTTTCGATACGATTAGGCTGCTGAAGTTCGGAGGGTGGTGGTAGCAGGACCGGACGGACGCACTGAAAGTTCACTCAGAGACTGTGGCAGATATGCTGAGGCCATAATTGCAAACGGTCTGGGAAGAAGGAAACGTACCTACCGATTGAAAGAAAAGCTGGCTACCTTGTGAAGCTGCCAAAAAAGGACGACTTCGGCCTGTGAAAGAACTGGTGTGGAATAATGCTCTTGTCCACACCAAGTAAAATACTAAGTCGCTTCATCTTGGAGAGAATAAAAGATGCACTCAATGCAGAACTCCGCCATCCTCATTGGAGTGAGCTGAATTTAGAAAAGGCAAATCATGTGCTGATCAAATTGAAACTCTACGCATCGTAATCATCATCACAGAACAAAGTATAGAATGGAGATCAAATTTTTCTCTACCTCAACAACTCCATCGACTCCGGAAAGGCCTTCACTAGGCAGCGTTGACCGAGAAGTAGTTTGGAAACTGCTTCAAAACTACGACGTGCAGTGCCCAAATCTTTAACAATCTCATTCAACAGCTGGCTAAATGACAATGCCACGTCCCAGGTGATCCACAACGGGAAACTCAGTGAAGCTTATGAATTGATTACAGGAGTAAGACAAAGCTGACAACTATCACTGATGATATTCCTGATCGTTGTGTACTGGATTATGCTGGAGTCTGTGTGTCGTGAGGGAGAAGAAAGGAATATGTTGGACCGATATGAGGACTCTAGGATATCTAAACTTTGCAGACGATTTGCGTCTAATCTCATATGAATTCTAAAACTTACGGGTGGAAGCCAGCAAACTAGCTGAAAAGGTAGATGGCCAAAACAGTACTCAAGGTGAATGTGGGAAAGAGGAGGGTGATGAAGATATCCACCCACCAACAGTTACTATCAACGGGAGAGATTTGAAAGAGATTACTTCCTTCACTTATTTAGGAAGCATCGTTTTAATTACATGAGGTGGCATGGAAAAAGCTGGCCAAACCTGAATGGGAATGGCGAACGCTGAAATCAGCCTGGGAATCTTCTGTACTCAGCATAAAGAACAGGATTTCGGTTTTAAACACCGATGTCAAGTCATTTGGTCTTTTTAAATGGGTAGGAAACTTGCCTGGCGCGTCGTGAAATGCTTTTTAACAGGTTACTGCTGACTTTTATCAACAGCTGCCTTCGCTAGCTCCATATTGAAGGTCAAATGGCCAGGAAGAATAAGCAACTAGGAACTCTTGGAACGAGTCAACCAAGAACCTACTGTTCAACAAATATGACGAGGAAAATGAAGACAGATTGGACACATGTTGAGTATTCCGTTGAGTTACATCTCACACCTGACCATTGCTCGAGTGGAACCCAAATGGAAAAGGACGAATAGAGCATCCAAGAGTGACATGGAGGAGACATACGGAGAGGGGATCAGACACCATGAGCAATCCTGGGGTCAGCTAAATAGAACTTCAGGACGATATGTATATGTGTTGCTGAAGCGCAATCTTCCACTTGGAACACAAGGGAACCAAATTAATAAGAATAAATTAGTAACGCACAATTAGAAATAACTCTCAGGATGTATTCCCCTTAATTATTATGACATTTTATATTTGAAACTACCACGGCAATATAAAATATACATCATGTAATGAGCAAGGACGAGTTTGAAAATTCTATTTACTAGAATATGAAATTTGACTCAAAAATGTTTGAGTCAGTATGAAGGGAATGTGGATCTAGGATGCACATATAGGAAGAAACTTACTTTATTCCAAGTGATGCCAAAGCATAGACATTGATATTCTGCATAAGTATCAAGGAACAATTACAAAATATTATTATACCACCTATTTTATGACTTCATAAAATTTTTTTATCGGTTTTTGTACAGGACTCGTCACTATGTCATTTCGTCAATCTCTAGGCAATAATCACACCTCTGGTAAATTCATTAATTTGTTGTATGATACTTGAACCGAACAACTGGGATGTAAATCCACTTGGTAAGGTGTTTTAAGAGTTTATACTATTATTAATTTGTGGATATTGAAAGTAAAACCAGAACCGCTGATTCACATTATAGTATTAACGATAACAAGACACAAGAATATGTCTTCTAAGTCAACAATAATTGAATTTTCAAGTCTCATTAAGAAGTAACTTTAAATTAAAAATCACTGAAAGCCATAGAGCACTGGGCAGCTGTTGCACCCCATTTTAAGACTTTTCAACAGTACGCACTCGTAGTTTCATCATGGATGGAAGCCAGGACCCTTAGGCTGCAAGGAAAGCTCATTGACCATTTGTCCACTCCTACCTGGAGTACACCCTGGTTTTTAATTGTCCTCTAACTGAATTCAGCTCGTGATCAGAAGTGGAATCAATGAAATCCCCGCAACATTTGAAAAAACAATTATGGTGGTAAAAACTGGTATTAAAATGCATGCCATAAAAAATTATAAATAAATTACGAATCGGATTTTCGGATTTATTACTTTGGCTTCTTTAATCTGTTTCTCATGGGTAGAAATGCATTATGATTATGACAACATTACATTGCACAAACTCTGTCACTAACAGGCTATAATCACTGATTCTGTATATCCTGAGAACCTCAAATGAGCAGTCAATATGACCTCAGTAACAAACAAAATGAACTATTGTCGTGTTTTGACTTAACAGTCTAGCCATTGCTGTACTCATGACGTATGGCAACTGCTGGAGATGTGTAAAACATATCACAGCCACTTAATTCCATGAAGTTTCATAGGCTAATACATTGAACCGTCCTCTTGATTCACCAATTACAGATCTATCCTGAGCAAGCAACATAAATAAACTACTTGTGGGCTTTTATATCCGGCGTTTTCAGAACGCGAAGCAAAGGAGATTCCTATGAAGTACGCTCTACTTTATTCAGATATCCAACTCCGTAACTGAGGCAAACTGACCATTTTGTTCATTCTAAAGTTTTAACGACAACCAGTACCGACACTCTAGGTATCACTGGACGGTTTTATATGTTTAAACTGTCATATATTAATTGACAAAAAAACAAAAATTTAATAACCATTTTGTGACTTCATTCACCCAATCGAGCTGCTTTTACGATTCCTATTTAACATTACTGTTGTGCCATCTGACATCAGGAAAATGAAACCCATAGTTATCAATACTTAAAGATCAAATATTAAGCACTAAAAAAACACTCGTCTTATTTCCCATGTGATTGTAATTGATCAATAACACTCGTATTATTGTATACTTTATTTCACTTATTTTATACTTATATCAAATATTAAGCATTAGTACAAAATAAATTCAAAAATGATGTTAGTTTTTGTACGAAACTGCAAACAATCGGGGAGAAAATATGAGTGTTTCAGATATAGTCATGACATATGCTGTCTATTAACTCTTCCCACCAAAATGAAAATTACAACGGAGTTAAAAAAACATAACTATGACAAGTAATTATTATTATCATTATCTAAAACTTTATGGTATGCTCACTTGATCATTTTTAATTGGACTCAATGACTGAGTCACGTCTTTACACGCTATATCAATATTCACGCTGTCTGGATTGTTAACACCATATTTCTCCAACAGTTGTTTTCTCACGCCTTCAGCTTTCGATAAATTCCTGCATGCCATGATTACCTTAGCACCACGACGGGCTAATTCACCAGCTGTAATCAAACCAATTCCTGCACTAGATCCAGTGACAATAGCCAACTTTCCATCTAATCTTTTTGATATGCAACATGATTTTGTCCATATTCCAGTAGTTTCAGACATACAATAAAGTTAATAAATTTTAAGGAATAGTATATATATACATATATATATCATCAAATAAGTAGGTTAAATATAGTCAATAAAATACATTCAATCAATCGAATCTTAGTGAATTAAAATTTGTTTATTAGTGGTCAGAGAAAATAATGTTTTGTTATAAACTCACCAACACATACGTTCACTTTAGAAGGGTAACTTGAAACCTTTTCACAAATGAATGAATAGAGCAACTTCTGAACTCTAGTACTACACATTCACAATCCCCATTTATGGGTAAATAGATAATAAAAATGTGGCGTAAAATCAACTTTTCGTCAGATAATCTAGGGATGATAATAATAATAATATTAAACTAAGGTTTATCAAAACCACTAAATTTCTGCGTCATAAATATGTCTTATTAAACACCCACTTTGGTATTTCGTTAGTATTCGTCTTCATACTATAAGTATATGTGAGGAAACATTATCGTTCTCCAATGTTGTTCTTTTCTTATGTATATTATCCCAATTAGGTTTTTAAAATGAGTTCACTTACTCCAGTCATACAAAACAAATCTTTGCATGGATTTGTACAATAAGATTGTTCGAAATCCAGCATTCAGGTGAAGTCTTTCATCTTATCTTTGTTGAAATGTATAAACACTGCCTCCAAATAAGATTTTCTGATAACAACTAGTTATGTAGAAGTTAAATGATGGATAGTGACTTGCAGTGGAACCAAGGATGCTCATTTCGTCCTATTTGGGACTCGTCATCTGGACGTACCTGCATTCCCCAGTGAGTGATCATTTTCTCACCGAGGTTTGAACCCAGTGCCCATAGTTTCAAAAGTCAAAGCGTTATCCGCTAGACCTCTTGGACCACGAGAGGCATCTCTTGTGCAACGGGTCATATTAATTTAATTGAATTTTAGATTTTCCCATCGATTGATTGACACATCAGCTGCTTGTGCAGATGCTTCGACGCTGCCTGAGCAAATAATTAGGAGTTAACTGTTGGATGGTGACTAGCAATGGAATCCAGGATGCGCACTGCCCAGACATCGTCGAAGCATCTGCACAAGACGCTGACATGTCAACCTGAGACCGAGCACTTCGGTCCAATCAATCGATGGGAAATTCTAAATTTGAATTTAACAACTAGCTATGTAATTCAAGAACGCTGATTTTTATGTCTTCTTCCATTCCTTTACGTTCCAAGCTTGAGCTCTGAAAATTCAGTAGCAATGGTATTTTTTACTGGGTGAGATAGCCAATCTCACGCCGAAAATTCCATCTTTTCACGAATTACTATCGGCTAATAAACTAGATGGAGTTTAGGAGCACGTTGGCTGTAAATCGAACCCAAACCACACACACACATGGTCGGCGAGCATTCTGCACTTGAACCACTGACTTGTATTTTGTTGTCTGCTCCTCGGTAGTAAAATAAGCGGAAAGCATTTTCCGAAATATGTTAAAAACTGTTCAGCATCTGGATCGAATTTAGAAGGTGCGAAAACAAAAATTTAAAACCTTAAGAGTTTTCAGAAGATGAATTTATTTTTATAGAATAATATGTGAATTCGAAAATAAAACTTCGGTAGTGTCACCTTTCGAACTGCAAAGAGGAGCACCGGTTCAATCAGAAGTGCCATTATTGAACATCTGATCAACACTTCCCACAACATCTCAACTGATTCATTCAAAGTAGTTTACAAAGTCAACAGAAACCTGCCAAAAGCAGTGTGTTTCCGACTTCTTTGTACTGCAGAAGCCCTCACAATATGCATCGAAAAGCTGGAGCTGTGTGTTCAAAAGAAATTAGTCCAACCTCAACAACTACCATCGACCTAGTTCGGTATGTTCCCTTAGCTTCCGTTTTTTTTCTTTCGTTCTTTTTTGATCTTTTTTTCGTTCACTGTGTGCGTGATTCTTACTCCCTTTGTCTTTATTCAACCCACCCCACTTTTCAGTTATAAGAACAGTTATTTTAAGTGTGTTTCCATGCTTTTCCTGCTCCCATTTATAATTCGTTTAAAATAACTATTTTACAATAATATCCTATTCCTGTGTAATTTTTGTTTCTAAGGCTCTTGTAATCTATATTCGCACCTCCTAAAGCCCGTTTCGCATCGGTGGCATAGCAGTTAGGACGCTCGCCGACCATGCACATGGTCCCGGGTTAGATCCCCGGCCGACGCACTCCTTTACCTCGCTAAGCCAGAAATAATGCTAGTGAAGAGGAAAGGTTGGACATGAGGCTAGCGACCCCATCCTATAAAATAAACACTGCTACAGACACTTCAAGCCACCATCTTGAAGCCCTGTGTTCCACTGGGGAATGTGGAGGAAAACAAAAAAACCTCCGTTTCAAGTTGAAAATTATTATTTCTATTTTGTGTCATTTTTTACACACTTGTAATTCGTTCTAATCCTGTGTTAATTTTGTTTCTAAGCCTCTCGTAAACCATATCCAGATGAAAATAATTGTCACCTTTTAAATTGGTCTTCGTAATTATGTGGAATCACACAAGAATTGTATCTATGTAAAATTATGTATTTAAATGTGATTGTACAGCTTTAGAAAATGAAATCGCTGGAAAGATATCTGTGCTGAACTTCGTGTTCTCCTCTTTCTAATGACCTTTCGAACTGTTGACCTTCTAATTGTTTACTGGACCACAATAATAAGTTGTTGTTTTTTCTGTGATTTACATTCACATCAGTTTACCTGACAGATACCAACACAGATAGTCCGATAATTAATGCACCATTTTACTTATTCTCTCTAATTTAGTAAAACTTCACTTGGGATACGTGAATGCAGTTTTGAAGTCATTGTGATGAATGAACAATTATCTATCATACATCGAACCGACCAGTGAATGAAATCTAGTATGATTTCAGTAAGATGAATTAATGAGTCTCATAATGCGATTAAACGGTTTATTATAAATAATATTGCGAAAATGATTTCCACTTTCCATTATAATTTCATGCTTTAACATTCGTTTTCTAAACTAAAGCTACCTAAGATAAGGACTTACTAAAATCCAATGAAAACCACTCCCAGATTGTTTTATGAATGAATGAATTGACCATATTTATGATAGTAAACTGAACTCGTAAGATCAACATAAACATGATATGCAGAAGACTAATAATGAAGTTTTAATATATGATTGAGTAATTATTTTCAATGGCAGAGTTTTCACATGAATCATACCCACTTTCAGTGAAATAGTTAAAAGTACTGCATGAAGACCTAAATAATTCCCTAACTGGAACATTCGGCACAACAGGGGTTAGAATTTTCTTATCCAAACATACAGTAGACCATGCGAAGAGGAAATGAAATCTTGCGAGCAGTCTTGCCGGCAGCTGAAATTTATGGAAGGGAACTCAGTTTGATTGAGATGTACCACTGAATCCCTGTGTTCCACTGGGGACACAAAGATAAACGAATAATAATAACAAAATCAGTTGATGATGAGTTGAATTTCATCAGCTTCGATTCTCAAGTCTGACTACGCCTCCTCAGTTGAGTAGATTTGCCGTACTATTCACTAACATAATAAATTTGCTTATACACACCACTGAATGTGATCTCTGGAATATAAAAAAGAGGAAGGCTGTATCATCAAGCGTCTCCAATAATCTTGATGTATATTTCTCAAAAAATATCATTCTTCATTAAGATGGAAAAAACGATTTGAAAGGGAATAAGAATAAGATATTTACGTACGGCCAATAAATATCAGTCCACTAGGTATCTAAGAAGAAAAATTCAAAAACAACATCTTTAGTGGAAACTTCAATAGTCTCTTGGTATTTCTGGCCTTCTTTCATTTAGTTAGCTAACACATTTGTCTCAGTTTGTGAGGTCTCTTGAACCTGATCATGTACTGCGTGAAAATTCTCTGATTACACTTCCACAGTAATATTTTGACTTTCATCTACAACTAGAAATCCATCTCGGATTCTCTTACCCCAGATAAATGTGAAATTATAGAAATAAATCAGATGAAATAAATAGCACTCATCACATCAAAATCATTGTATTTTGTTACGTGTTTATTCATTTGTGAAATTTAACAGTTTCAACTTAGATTTGTATAGATGCTTAAAGTCGGTGAACTGAGATAAATACAGAGGATCAATAAAATCCTTTGAAAAGACGAAATATAATTGTGAGGGGTTCTTTTGAGCAATTTCATCAATAAATGCAAATACACCATGATGTCAGCAGTGTTAAGACATGTTTGCAGTAAAGTGAACTGGTTGTTTTTTTCTCTAAATATGTAATTCACACTGTGACACTTTACTTTTCCCGCCTACTAAATCACAGGGAGACGTGACTGAGCAATGTGATTCATATTTATAATTCTTCAGAATTTAGACTAATAGACAAAGGCTAAATGCGACTGAGGTACAATTTTTTAGCACACAGTTGCTTGTAAAAATCTATTGGAAACGTGGGTGTAAAGTACCGTAAAACTAAGAAACTGTGTGCTTTTAAACATATATAGTATCCTTTAGTCTCTAAGATTTGAAAATATCCTTTGGGTGAGTGGGGATATTATAGTGTATGACATTACACAATATAATATTGTCATAACTTCATAAAGTCACTTTGTTATAATTTTCGACTTATATAGGTCAACTATGACGCCGATTGGCATATCTTTCATTCTTATTATTCTGTATTAATTTTTTGTATAAAATACTTCAATAATTACAATGTTCCTCATCAAACAAATCTGTTATCTTTTAAGTAATAATCTCACTTCATATATTTTCAGTTTGAACTCTTATTTCCGGTTATTGAATAGTCAACAAAAATGCTGTGAATATAACGAGTAGTTCATCTTACATATGACTCTTTATTATACATTCCAAGTAAGAATTTCCACACAGGCTGAAAGCAAATAAAGAAACATTTAAAACCAAGGAGCTGTTTCGTTCTAGCTTCGGACTCATCAACACCCTACAGTGAGGACGCCACCAGGAATTGGACCTATGAATCGTAACTTACAGAATCCAATTTCTCCGTGT